AAAAAAAAAAAAAAAAAAAAAAAAAAAAAAAAAAAAAAAAAAAAAAAAAAAAAAAAAAAAAAAAAAAAAAAAAAAAAAAAAAAAAAAAAAAAATTTTTTTTTTAAAAAAAAAAAAAAAAAAAAAAAAAAAAAAAAAAAAAAAAAAAGGAGAAGGGGTAAAAATAAAGGAGGAAGGGAAAAAGAAGAGTGGCCCCCCCAAAAGAACCCCCACCTTCCTTCTCGTTAAGTTTCATTTCAGCCATAATTCCGTAACGAAAACCTTTCCCTTTAAGAATTCAGCGAAAAGATCTAACTATGAAGGTCATACACTTTTGTAACGCACTGTTCTGGGTATTAATAAAAGAGCGAACAAATGGCGAGGCGATGGAAATCCCGCCTTAGAATCAAAAACACATGATACTCAAAAGCCGCTGACGACAGATTGAACGACAAACGAGAGGAGGGATTGACAGTGTGACGGATGGGGGAGGGACAAAAGTGTTGGGTTGGTTGAAAGGGGAGTGAGGAACGGGGAGCGTGAACGGTTAACAGAGAGCGGGTGGACGGCGGAATGACATAATCCATAACCGTGACACTTGAGTCGATTTCTGTTTGTCTGTGAACCTCAAAAGAATGCGGACGGGGTTGGGGGACATGGATATCGATATCTGTTTGTTTATGTATCCCCTGTAAAGGGGTATGTTGCCTATATTAAAATATATGCAGATCTGCATTCAGAATGAGGATCAAACAAGCCTGTTTTCCTCTTCCTCTTAAGGACTACGATGAAGAACAAAAGGAACTGATGCCAAAGATATGGAAGGGTTTCATTATCAAAATAAAGGTTACAAAAGGAGCATTCAATAGTCGGTACGTGGAAGACTGTTTTAGTGTTTTTCTTTGTATATTTTTCTCGCGTCCGCTCAATCGAATGAACAACTAAAGTTCTGTGGTTCTGTGGTTTCTTCGGTTCTCACAGATCTCACCGATCTCTGGCCTCTGTGGAGGATACTCATATTTGTAAGTAGAAACAAACATTTCTTACGAGTACGGAATGGCGGAAGTTGGTTGGTTTTTGCCATGCCTTTTGTTTGGAGTCGAAAACCAGTTCGGAATGTACCGCCTCCGATCTGCCGGCTAGGCTACACTCTCTCATATAACTACTCGGACATGTGCCGCCTGTCTCTGCCTCTGTCGTTCAATCAAACCCAATCAATCGTCAACTTTGTGGTTCCGCAATGTGTGAATGTGAATAGCTTTAGAAAAAACAATAAAGATACATAATAAACAAGTGCCTCGAAAAGCAAATACCAAAGACGGAACCAAATCACATGGGTGGGCCACTCCATAGAATTCTCGGGGAGGCTCCTCCGCTGGCGCTTCGAGAGACAAGTGGCAAGTGGCTGGGAGGGCAATCAATATGCAAAACGGAAACAGCAGGCACTTCCAATAAGCAACATTTACGAGTAGTCGATGATTTGAATCGGTTATGAACATTTATTAATGACTACAGCAGCAGGAGGAGGATGAGGAGGAGGAGCTGTGGGAGTCACAGGAGGAAACAATCTACTCGATCTACTTTATAGAATCAGATATGTTCATTTATGATTGATTTTGTGTGCCATAGAGGAAGTTTCAAGCGATCAATACGGATATGTAAATCAGTTTTAGTTCTAGTTTATTGATTAATGATGATAATCGTATTGAAAGCATTTGTGTCCGGCTTAAAAATTTTATTTATAGAGAAAATGTTCTCTTTTCCGTATAGAATATGCACTCAAAGGTGCGTTGCTCGAAAGCCAGGTGTTCAAATAGCCAAACGATAGGTAGGCTTCAACATTTGTTGTTCAATCTGGCAATAATGATTGATAGGTTTAATAATAGATAATATAATTCCTCGTATCATTTAAATTTTGATAAAAAAAAAGATTATTTTACTTTATTCAACAATAAGTTCCATACCCATAATACTCATCTTAAATAATTTTCTGCCTTTTCATATATAGTATAAGTTTTCAGCAATCGAAATTGCGAGTAATATTTCATTTATTAGGTAGATATTTCGAAAATCCAAGGCGTAAATTATTAGTAGGTGGAAAATCGCTCAATCTCAGCCCTAAGACCCAAAAATAAAATATATATAGAAAATTTATTGAGCATTGGCATTTATGGCAGCTGCATTTGGAATTATTTCTCATTTTGGCACACTTTAATAAATACTTTTATGGCTGCTCTTTAAGATTCATCGATTGCTGAGCGATCAACGACAATAAATCAAATAATTTTATAAATAAGTGAAGAATGAACACTCAGACATTCAGACAGACATCTCAAGTGGCTTTTGTGCTGTGATGTTTTTGGCATATAAATATGTATATTGTTTATTGCTGATGTACTTAAGCATATGTACATATGTATAGACTGGTGTATTTATTTGTGTAATTATGACATTTTTTTCACGCCAACTCAAGCAAACAAAACGGGCAGTAAGCCCTCTTTGTTTGGGCCACAAGTAAAAATTCAGTACACTGCGAGATATCACATAAATTAAACGCATAAAAAGACGAAAACACATCATAAAAAATATATATGTACATATATATATAATTTAATTATTGAGCAAGAAATATGTAAATATTCTCCAGTCCTGTGACAAGCCTCCTTTTGGGCAGTAATCAGCTGAATGATTCAGCGACAGAGACGCAGACTTTGCCACGTACTTCCTCATTGCCACAGATCGGGGCAGGGGGATATGGAAATGAGTGAACAATCAATAAGATACAAAACCAGATGCAACAGCTATGCGTAGATACGCTGTCAACATTTTTGCATTTCCGTATTTCCTTTATTTGTATTTTTCCATTGATTTGCATAGTCGATTGATCGCACTTTTGCATGGCCCACGCTTCAGGAATAAAAATATACTAAAGAAAATAAAATCTATAGAATTTTGCTGATAATTTTTATTATCACAAGAGGCTTTAAATTTATTCACATTTATTTATGCCGGGACGTCATGATAAATGGATTTGTCAAATGGAAATTATATCAACAGTAGCGCGATTCGACGCCAAAAAAAACTGAAAAGTTAATCCCGCGTTAATTATACTTATCAAAATGGTTGATTGAGTGTCTCAAACTACAAATATTTATAATTATTTTGAAAGGAGAATTAAAAAAAGAAAGAGAAGCAAATTTGCTGTGGAAATAGTTATTCTTAGCTGAACCCTACATTTTTCAATTGTTATAACATTAGAACGCAATATAACATTGCATTTATCGTTACTGAATATATTTTGTTCTAAATAATCTGTAGCGTAACAAAAAAGGGTCGATTTTTGTAACCATCTTTTTACCAATACATCCAATATTATACATCTTCTTTAAGTATTCTTCCAAGTATTATGTATGTCAAATTTGAACTTTAACAAATCTAATTTTAGTTTGTTTTTCTGCTGATCATTTTACGCATTTTTTATGTAGCTATTTTAAAAAAAACATAAACAGCAAGAGATGCCATTCAAAAGAGCCAAAGAGAGCAGAGAGCAAGAGATTATCTCAAAGAAAGAGATTATCTCACATCTCTTTCTCGGAAAAGCGGCACAACAGCCGCCCCACAGTCTAGAAGATCGTGAATCTCTGAAGATTATACCACACCCCCTCTCACAGTGGAATTCTTTTATTTGTTTTTCTTTATGCGAAATATTATAAATTTTGCAACTCTTGGCCTCCCTTCCGCCTCTACTTCCTACCACATCGAATTGTTTGTTTTCCTTTCCATTTGTGTGGCAACTTTTTGCAGGTCAATCCGTAAAGCCACATGAGATTTCGGAAGGGGGGAAAAACCAACTGTATTTATGGGGGCGCTCATTACTTTTTGTTTTTGGAACACCGTTGCCTTTGCCTTTTAATTCTCCACACAAATGGCATCGTAGGGCCATAGACGAAATCAGAAAATCAGAAATGAAAAAGACAAAAGACGAAGACGTCAGCGACAGACAGTGAAACTTGTGCCGGTTGAACTTTTTTTTTGATCGTTTGTAATTATTAGAGATGGGAGCGTGAAGCATAAAGAGTATACTTTGACCAAAGCACAGAATGTGTCAGATCGGACAGCAAACAAAGCTCCAACAAGCAGTCACGAAAAGTAGTTGAGTTGAAAATCTTCGACCCTGCCCATCTCTAGTAATAGTTACCGCCTTTTGCTACTTCTTCTCTTTCCTCTTTTGCCATTGTTTTTGCTGTTGTTTTATTGTGTTGATGACCTTAAATTAGGCGTAGGTCTTTGGTCGTATTCGTCATTGTTGGCCAAGTTTTTTGTGCTGGTCAGCTGTTTTTTGTTTCTTATTATTTGAGCTTCGTTGTTTGGCCTCACATTGTAATAAATTACCACAGAAAAAAACGTATATTACATGCTCATAAAAGGCGAAATAGCAGTAGAAGAATGGACGAGGATTGGCTTTGAATGTCATGACCTGCAGGCAAAACTGCTTAAGAATATAGTGTTATACAGTTAAACTCCACTAGCGAAGAATTTCTTAAGACAAAGAAGTGTCCATTGCCCGAAACGAATGGAAAAGCTTGAGCCTCACACAACTGATTATCTTTCGGGGTACATTTTAGAGAAGTTTCACTGTAATTCTGCCTAGTTTTTTCTCCTATAAAAGTGAATGTGAGCCAAATGCAGAAACCAAAGAACAAGAGAATCCAGAGGAACAGTGAGCTAGAGGAGAGGACCATTCCAACGGTGCCTTACCGTTCCGAAAAAAGATTCACAAAAGAAGGGAGGTTAGGCAAAGACACCGTAAAGCGCGCCTAATACAATCAAAAGAGAGAGAGAAAGAGCGACTAGACAAACGGAGAGAGGAACATACAGAGAGAGAGAGACAGAGATGGAGACTCGGCTCAGGTTTAATTTAACCCAGGCCTGCTCTCAAAATTGCAAGCGCAGTAATTAGCTTCCTTTTACTTCTTGCATCACACACACACACACACCGACAATTATTTAACCGTTGCTTTACCTTTTAATCGTTGTCTTTGGGTGTTTCAGCTTCGCTCTCTCCTCCTATTTATATGGGATTTATTAACTGATTTTCTTTGATTTTTTTAGTCACATTTCTCATCGAGATGAATTGCACTTTTTTGCACTTTCGTTGATTTTTGCACCGAACACACTCGCAAATAATGATTTAAACTATTTTCTCATGTATGTATTTATTTATGCTTTAGTTTAGCTCCTTCTTTGAACTCTTTGGGCATTTGACGAAGAGCAGATAAGTTGCTGGGTTCTGTGGATTTTTGGTTTTCATTGGGTTAGTATTATGTTTTTCTGATTTTGGGAGTTGCATTCAAACATTCACACCCACCCACTTTCTAAGAATTAAATTCAGGTAAAATATTTCCCTTTTTCCAGGGTTAACTGCAGACAAATTTCCCTTTTTATTGGTGCTAAATATCCCTTTCATTCAGTTTAAATGCACTTTTGAAATAAATTAAATAAGGCAGTTCTGATACGCCCAAAATTTGTTTAGCTTAGCGATTTGATTGAACACAATTTCCCTTTCTAAAAGTCTAGTACATATTTCTCTTTGATGCGCTCAGGGTTAAAGAACTTTGGATATCTTGAAAAGATTTCTCTTCAAATAAAATTTTGGTAATGAAATTGTTATAATTTTCTTTGGCTAAAGGTTCAAAGATGGAATGAAAATCCACAATTGCGAACACCATACAGCCAGTCAACGGTCAACGGACAGCGGGAAACGGACATGAACAACCAAGAAAATGAGCACAGACATCAACAGCAATTGTCATAATTTTCATGAGACCCACACACCGAGGAGACACTCACACAACTGTAATATATTTTTCAACAATAATTTAATTTTTACAATTTTTCTTCGTGACTTCTGCTTGCTGGCTGCACTTTTCATAAATTTTATTTTTATATTATTTAGCACAGATGCGCGCGCGTTTTTTGTCGCCCGCCTTCTTGGCTTTTTCTATTTCTTTTACTTTTTCTCCAATTTAACTGTTTTGTGGAGCGGAAGAGCTGTAAAAGACTCTGTTTCTGTTTCGGTTACTCTTTCGATTTCGTTTGGCGCCGACTCTCAATTGGGGTTTTGTTGCTTTTTATTTTGGGGGGGAGATCGGGAGCTACGGTGTTGCGTTCGTTGCAAATGAAAAACTTAAAATGATCGAACGAAAATTTCTACGGTGAGGAGTGTCTCAGAAAGTCGAGTCAGGCAGAGCGGCGTCGACGGTGACGGCGACTGCGACGACGGCCGAAAAAAGCAACAACGAAACGAATTAACCGATCGCTGCCGACGATGACGGCGACGACGACGCAGAGACTTGTGTAAATTATGCTATTAATTGCTCTCTCTCTCTCTCTCTCTTTCCGTCTTTGTTTTCGGCTTGCCTGCTCAAGTGAGGCATAAGTACAGGTGAGGCATTAGGAGAGAGCGCTCTCACCGTAATTGACAAAAATAATTGACACGCGCATCAAGGAATGGTTCACAAGAGAATCCAAAACCTCTAAAATATTTCAAAATACTACAAACAAAAAATAAAAGGGATCGAGAGGTGGATGTTCCCTAAGAAAATAAACAAGCCAAATAAAATATTGATAAGCCCCTATAATTAATACTAGCCGTCTGAATCGCACAGAAGGGCGCTAAATATGTACATATATAAAATATTTAATAGGCCACCACTCGCCTTACCTTGTTTCAATACACTTTGGACTGGCCTGGCTTTAACGCTCTCCCTCTCTCTCTCTCAACCGATCTCTCTCTCTCTCTCTCTTGTTGTCTCTCTTTGGGGACATGTGCTGCAATAAACATGTTTGTGTTGCTGCAGTTGGGGCCAGTTCACCAAGTTGGGGCTTTGGGTTTATTTCCGTCGCCGCTTTTCCATCGTTGTGTGCGTGTGTGTGTGTGTGCTTGGACACATGTTGCTGGCAACAAAGTTTTGATCAAAGCTCTCTTCTAAGGTGGCGTGACGGACGGGGCGCGCATGTGCAATGAACTTGTTTCGGCTCGCAATTGCGATACAATTGTTGCTGTTTCTTTAATACCCTTCATAGTGGGTAGTATGGTTTGCAGAAGAATCTCCGACCCCAGGAGATCAGGTCACTATATCATATAGCTATCTTAGGAATTAAATTATAGAAATGATCGAACTAATGGGTATCCAAAGCTTCGTTTCCCGAATGTTGCCTTTTTAATTTTGAATTTGTTTCTGTTTTTTGGAGGTTATTCAGTTGCGGCGACTTTGTAATTTCATTTAAATTACTCATACGCCATGTGACGCTGCCGTAACGCGCCGCTCTGTAATTATTTGATATTTGCTTTTGAGATCTGCGGCACTCTCTGCTTAACGGACAGCAGCATCAACAGCAGCAGGAATTCATTTCCTCAACTTTAATGTAGGTCATTGCTAAGGGGGTGAAAGTGCTGCAATTATAGATGCCCCCCTACCTTCCCTTCCCCGGTCCGTGTACCCTCTCCCAATAAGGAAATTATTGCCAAGGTCAGAGAGCTTTTGCCCAGAGAATTTACCGTAAGGTGAACTGCATTTCATCCTAAACGAAAGACAGAGATGGAGACAGAGATAGATAGATAGCTAGGGAGGGAGTGAATTTCCTATGCGACCTTGAGAACTCATGGGAATTCTCTTTCATTTAGCTCGTTGAACGGTTGATTCTGTTATACCTGTTAGTCTCAGGGCATTCGGGTATATTGTTTTTGTGAAGATGGATGTACTAGGCACGGAGGGAGACAATCTCTCGGAATGTCCGTGGAGAATATTCAATAGCCTGTTGCATTTACTATTTAAAGATATGAGGTTGGTTGGTATTTTGGTAGAACTCTTAATTCATGTATTTTCTACATATTTAACTAAAATCATCCTGAAATATTGCAAACAACTTGTTCCCTAAAAGACATTCTCTTTTCCAGTATGTACTACCATCGCTTTTTCTTTCACTTTGAGTATTTTCCGGATAGTTCTCGCTTAAGGGGTACCTCCAAAGTCAAAACATAGACTGGAGCATTCTTGTTGGGGTTCCTTTCCTTCTTTGCCTCCCATTTCAGGTCATTTAAAACGCATGACTTGGCTCGAATTGCAAATTATGCAAATTTCACAAACGAACTTTTGTACAAAAATCAGAAAAACTGCAACATCATTTTGTGGCCGACTGTTTCCCATCTCGCTCTTGCTCTCTATGTCTCTCTCTCTCTTTTGTGTATTTACAGTTTTTCGGACCATTCGGAACATTTTCAATAATTTCAATAGCCTTCAATATTATTACACAATCATAAATTGTCGGAGCGAAAATGTAAATGTTTTACGAATACGATACGCCTTGGGGGCTATAAAAAATGTGTAATCGCATGTGGTGCTATGGCTATGCCATGCCTATGGCTATAGCTATAGCTATGACTATATCTAACAGTTCGACTACGAGTTCGACTATGGGCAATGGTCAGTGAGATATATTTAAGCACTGCTTGTCTCGTACTCGTCTGTCAGGGTCTCATTCAGGTTTCAATGGGGAATACTCAACATAAATATTAGAAATGTACAAATGGAATGCAGTTTGGAAAAACCTATTTATCGAAGGATAATGATATACTTTTATATTCCCAATATATCGTGAATGCTCTATAGGTGGACAGGACTTTTAATGCAGACATTGTCATGGGAATCACCTCGAGTGACCGCCCAAGCTACATTTCGGGATGAAGGTAGATCAGCATTTACTTGAACTACTCACAAAAGGTTTACTACAGTTGAACAAAGGTTAATCAACCCGAATAAGACATCTAACGTACACCTGCCTCATTGCTTCCGTCTTTTATCTGAACTTCAAATGTTAATTAACTTTTTATAAACCATAAATTAATCAATTAAGGTATTGATTTTTGGGTTTGGCCAAAACAAAGGTAAGGTAAGCAAATTGTAGTTGCTTTAAGATTTGATTGAATAAAATTAAGAAGACAATATCAATGCCATTCACTCTATACATTTTTGTACTCTTTTGTTGATAGAAATAAGATGGTAAATGGCAAAAAGACACATCCTTACCGTAGAAATCAAGTCATCTTTTGTTTAAATAATAATACGAATTATTTATTATTTTGTACCTATCTTTTCACTTGTTTAGGACACTGGGATGCCTATTATATGGTATTCCATGACAATCATTACCATAACAAACTTATATTATCCTTTCCCGTCAAACTAAAAGCAAACTGCCCTTTCAAGCAGCTTCATTTAAATAACAAATGCAAGTTTCTTTACTCCCCCGAACCTATTTTCCAGGCAGGGTAACTGTCAAGAGTTTTTGGAGTCCAACGCCAGACCCCCCAACTCCTCTGCCTCTCCTGTGTTGGAGCTGTTGAATATGCAACAAAGATTTACTTTTTAATTTTTTGTTTTTCGTCAGTTTTCCACATTTTTTTTCGTCCGTCCCCCACTTGCTTTTTGTTGTCTTTCCTGCAGCATATGGCGGAAGGTACAACAGTGTTTCGACAGTGCAACTTTTTGTTGCAGCTGCTAAAAATAGCAAAAGGCGCAGCAGCAAGCAGCAGCGGCAGCAGCAGCACCAGAAACAGCATTGATTGCAAGTTGTTTGGTTTGGCAAATGACGACGACAAACACCGTGGTGGTGCCACAGAGTGTGGTCCAATAATGAAAACGGAGATGAAAAAAAAAAGGAAAACCGGCTTGACAGGAAAATACGAATTTTCGTTTAAAATGAGGAAAAAATTCAAACGATTTCGATGTGGAGGCTGGCTGGGAAGTTGGTAAAGGTATTTGTCTATTTTTGTTTGTGCGGGATTTAGTCGGAGTTGATCCGCGTCCTTCCCTTTCTTCCGAAACACTATTTCAGGTAGTATTTAAGTGGCTGTTTTGTAGCACCAAAAATGGGCAGTAAATTATTTTAAAATTGGGGCACAACTGTACAGAAGCGGAAATAAAAATCCTCCCTTTACTCGTTGAGAGACTGGGAGAGTGGCGACTGGTAACATGTCATATAGTATCGATCTCCGAACACCCATTCCATTCGGATGACCCATCTCTATGGATAATTGTTGTTTTTGTTTACTTTTCATTTGCGCCATTTAATTGAATTGCTGCATAAAAATGAATGAATTTCTATGACTGCACTAAATGATGCTCTGTCGCCGCCTTTGAATGTGATTTTTATTTGTTTATTGTCTTTGAACTGTGCTTTATTTTTTGTTTTCTCAATCAAAAGTCTCGCTTTTTGGTGCGCCATTTGAATTTTCATGTAAATAAATTTGCCATCAATTTTGCACAGAAATTGCAAAAACGTGCAACAATTTCGGGCGGGACTCTCGAATGCTCTCTGTATCCGAAATCCGAAATGGAAGTTGCACCCAACCCAAATGCGATTCGGAAAGAGTTTTTTTAATGGGATTTAAATTGCAAAGTGGATGAGGGAATAAATGGGAAGGTTGCTGAGAGTTTCCGCATGGCTTTTAAAGAGTCTTTTTATGGATGTATCTTAAAGATAAGTGTTGTAATTGGTACACAAACATTTTCAGCAATTGCTAGCAAGCATTTCAATTTGAATATAAAATTTCCTAGTTATATTTGAAAGTTTTTCCATGATTTAAGTAGTATTAAATTATCCTTAAATAGGTACTATACATTAAGAAATGAATAGAATAAATCTAATAGAAGAATCAAATGCATCATCAATCCCCTTATAGATCAGAAATTACCCCCGCTCAGATTTTACACATATTCTTCAGCTTTCGTCTCCTACAGAGTATTCCAAATCGATTGCCAGTTAAATCCCATTTTGGAATATATAATTTAATTCGATTCTGCTGTGTGTCAGCAAGATCGTTATTCAAATCAAAATATCTATCTGTCTGTATGGCTCCATTTGTTGTTCAATTTTTCAACACATTAATGGATTTGCTGTATTCGAAAAAGACTGTCAAAGGTTGCAGTCCGATAGATAAATTCAAGTTTTTAGAATTCAAAATGTCAAAAGGTAGGGACAAACGCACTGACAGTTGTCCCCGGGGGTACGGGGAAGTAGCGAGAGAGGTGCGTAAGGTGCGTGCCAAAACATTTGTCATTCGCACATTTAAATATTCATTCAATTTGTGGAGAGTTCTAATTCGAATTCGAATTCA